AACCTTTGAAGATTTTCGAAGATTTCTCTGGAAATTTTTGAAAATTTTTTTTGAGTGGAGATCTCCAGAGATCTCTACCAAAAAAATTTCCTAATATAAATTTAAGTATCGAACTGATATCGAAATAGTATCATTAGGAGCCTTAGTATCTACCTCTCTATGAAGAGTTAATTGACTCCTTACACCTTGCAATAAGTGAAAATGGACTTCTTTCCCAATGAAAGGTTCTTGCTAACTGTTTACCATCTGCCATTTATGTTATTACCAAAAAAGGAAATTTTTTATGAATTGAAATGTTGTGAGAAAGAGTTTTTTTTAAATAGAGTTTTTATTATTTATATAATTTGTTTTTTAATATTATTATAAAAAATATAAAAAATATTAGATTCTAGAATATTAAGATATAAATAAATAAGATAGATATTAAATTATAATCTAATATTACAAAAAATATTGGATATATTTTATATATTATAAAAATATATATAATAAAAGATTAATATCTATTATTTGTTTTATTATAAAAAAATAATTATAAATTAATAAAATACTTTTAAAAAGTTTTAATAATTATATTAAAAAATATTAATTAAATATTTAATTATATTAATATTTATAGACTTTATTATTAAAAGATTTTAATAAAAGATAAAATTATAAATTACTTTAAAGAATCAAAAATAAAATTTTAAATTAATATTAAAATAATATTATTAAGAATTTTAATTAAAAATCAAGATTTAAAATATTATAATCAATAATCCAATAATTCAATAATTCTTAATAATAATAATAATTTAATAAAATTAAAAAAGTTTTATATAAAATTTAATTTTTTCAATTATTATATGTAATTAAAAGCTGTTAAAAAAAATATTCTTTTTTATATATAACATTTTTTTTAAAAAATTCTTTTTATAATAATTTTTTCAAAATTAAAGAAACAGTTTTTTTTCTTTTTATCTTTTAATATTTAAATATTTTTTATACTTTTTTTATTTTTATTACAAAAGTTTCAAAAAATTTCAAAAAGTATACTGATATATTAAAAGAAACCTCTAATAATAAAAAAACAAATTTAAGAGTTTTGTTGTTTTTTGAATTATATAAGAAAAGACTTATAACAGTTACTTATTTATAAATTTTTTTGGAATTTTTCTTATTCCTACTTTTTATTAAAAAACAATTCTTATTAATTAATTATATTCTTTTCTTATAGGGGCTATTTTTTAACTCAAAAAAATTAAACTTTATATTATTATTATCTACATTATAAACACTATTTTTTTATTTATTTGTATATTACAAGATATATACAGTATTTAAAAAAATTATTATAAAAAATTTTTCTTTAATGTATTTTTTTGGAACTATAGAAAAATATTTATTTAAATATTATATATATGTTTATTTATTCAATGTTTTATATAATTGAAAACAAAATTAATTATAAATTTTAAAAAAAATATATATTTAAATATATTTAAGAAGAAATGCATTTAAAAAGAATTCTTCATATATATAATAATAAAAATTTAAAAAATTTATTATATAAAAACCAATTAATCGCAATAACTATTTCAATTAATATTTAAATAGCCTTTCAGCATCTTTTTATTGAAAAGCAAAATTTTTAGTTTAATTGGTTGAATCAAATTGGGTCCCTAATGGGGTGTTTTCCAATGCATAAATTAGATGTGAAAAAAAATTTTTGAATCAATCTCGTAAAAGAATGGGCAAAGAACGCTCAACGAAAAAGGAAAGACACAATCCTCTTCACGTCCAATTAGATGAAACGGTCAACAAAAAGCATTCCCGAGCAAAGTTTACTGCACGCAATCAGCAAAAGAATAAGGAAGATGTACGAAATCCTTCATGCATTAGAGAATGGTTATAAATTCGATATTAAAACTTCGTTTAATTAATGCCATAGGAATTTGTCGATCCGATTCTGTCCCGAAAAATTCTACAAATTGCTCGAGAGCAGCAGGAAGAACTTGAAGTAGAAGCTCAGACACGCGAGGATCAAACGTATGTTTTCAAAGAGGTCTCACTTCATCTTATGCTGACGCTTACAGTTTACGACGTGGATGAATGTTATTTATTCAATTCTCGAAAATAGGACAAATGACCAAAGCGCGCTGTTTTCTTCTTTAATTGACGACGAAAGCGATCAAGATGATATTTCGGAATATAGCGAGGATTACAATCACGATGAATTGGTTTGTATTTCCTTAGTTCATTATCGTCCTTTTCATTGAGACTTCATTATTAACATTAAAAACGAATGGAAGGAAATCGACGAAACGGACCAAGAAATTCTCGATAAGTTCTTACCAAGCGCACCGAAAGCGAGGAGGACTCTCGCAGACATTATTATGGAAAAGATCGAATCACAGGATGCGAATAAGCTAATATCCAAAGGTTTTAAAACATCTTTATTTGTAGTGTAAATCGTTTTTCAATGAACATTTTTGAAGGAATTGCTGCCATGTGAAATTGTAGAAGAAAACCTTCGATCACCAACAGTAAACCCCAAAGTAGTCGAAGTTTATTCAAAGTACGTCTTACTCCGGGAAGCGCTGTTGTTTAGGTTAAAATTTTGGCCTCATGTCACTCTTTGGACTTATTAGAGTTGGGACATTATTGAGTCGTTACAAGTCTGGAAAACTTCCCAAGGCTTTCAAAATCATCCCTTCATTACCTAACTGGGAGGAAATATTATACATCACGCGTCCTGAAAACTGGACGCCACATGCCACTTTTCAAGCAACTCGCATTTTTGTTTCCAATCTGAAATCAAAACAGACTCAACGGTGAGCTGACATCTTACATTTCACAATTCGCAATGATCTTCTGACCGATTTGTCGTTGAGTATTAATTAATATTTATAACAGGTTCTTCGATCTTGTACTACTAGATAAGGTCAGAGATGACATACAGGAAAACAAAAAACTTAATTATCACTTCTATATGGCTCTGAAAAAAGCATTGTACAAACCCGCATCTTTCTTCAAGGGAATTTTGTTTCCATTATGCGAGGCATGTAATGTGATATCATGATAAATAATTTAGTACTGGTGAATCTGATAGAATATCCTAACAATCGAATCATTCATAGTCTGGTACCTGCACATTAAAAGAAGCAGCCATCATTGGTAGTGTGATTACGAAAGTGAGCATTCCAATGCTTCATTCTTCGGCGGCGTTACTTCGTCTCGCCGAAATGGATTATACTGGTCCCAACAGCTTGTTTATTCGCATATTACTTGATAAAAAATACGCGTTGCCTTATAAGGTGGTGGATGCGTTGGTTTTTCATTTTCTTCGATTTAAGAACGACGAAAGAGCCATGCCCGTGTTGTGGCATCAATCGTTTTTGGTATTTGCGCAAAGGTAAAGATTCAGTCACATTTTTGCACCGTTCATCATCACGAATAACCAACTCTTTATCCTATTTAAAAAAGATATAAGCAGGATCTTACGCCCGAGCAAAAAGACGCTCTTCTCGGGGTGATGAAGGCAAAAACGCATGAACTCATCACGCCCGAAATCCGTCGGGAAATAGTTAATTCCGTCGCCCGCGGTGAGATCATGGACACAGAGATGGAGCTTTAAGGCTTTGATACATGTATTATTTAACTTTGCTATTTTACCTCAAGTAGTTAATCTTTTTCACTCCTATAATTGATCTTGAAATTTTGCTTTTACTTGGTAATCCGAAACGCGAGTCATGGAGCTCGCGATGTCATGAAATATCTTAAGAAATAAATATAGTAATAGTTTAAAAGTCAAACCAAATGTTGATTTAACGCAAAATAGCTGCAACGAATATGATGATATTCCTTGCGTCCAAGATTTTTTATTTTAAAACGATTTCGTTAAATATAGTTGCGAGAGGAAACCCTTTGACTGTCGTTAAGGGGGTAAGTTGGAATATTCGAAAGATTTGTAATTATTTTAAATGTATCAGAATTTTGAAAAATACAGAGATTTGTTGAAAAGTAATATGAATGGTAAATAGGATATGAGAAAAAAAAAATTAAATGTATAAGAATGAAAGTATACATGTTAGAAGATTTTTTTTTTTTTTTTTTTTGATATGTTCCCGGAGATGACGGTGAAACGGAAACCAAATATGATCTCGAAGGTGTGTGTAAGGGATATGGAGGATGGAAATAGACCAAAAAAAAAAAAATAATAATCTTTATCCAGATGTGACGGAGGAAAAGAAAACCCCAAGAATCTAGATGTATCAGTTATATACAATTCTTTAAGATAAAATGTTTGGGTTTTCCGAAATTATGTAAAGTTGTGATGTTTATCCAAGATCACGTATACCGTATATATATACTATGATATTCGAGTGCTATAATAAACCTTTTTCTAAAAAAAAAAAAACTATACACATATATATATATAGTGATAAGTCATGCAAAACCCTAGTAATAAGAAATGTTGAAGGAAATATATAAAAAAAAAATAGGATAGAAAAAAACGAAATAAACGTGAAGTGCCGTTATCACAGAAATTTATAAATTAAAGCTTCGATATACCTAATTGAATTTTCAGTTACGAGGAAAAAGGGGAAGAATTTTTTAGGTGCTCACAGATTCACCACGGGCGAAACGCGGGTAAAGTGAAATGTTTTTTTTTTTTTTTTTTTTTTTTTGTGAATGAAAGAGTCTGAATTCTATTGGTAGTGTCAGGTTGCCATCGAATAGGTTTTTTTCACAGACACAGACAATCCAAACAGACATACATTTATCAAAATTAGTTTTCCATCACTATGTCTACTTCCGTAAAGACTATGCCTTGCTCGTCACTTTGCTCAGGGTCCAGCGAAGTACTTTGATCCACAATGCTGACGCTTTCAACAACTACCGCGTTTACCTGATGTTGTTCCTGTATCTCACCGGTCTCGGTACGAGCAATGGTCGCACGTGATTCGTCTATTATAACCTCTCTGCTCGCTTTATTCCTGGAGAAGAAAACCTCGGGACTTGTGCAAGCCCCCAACGCTCTCCTCATGTGGGTTGTTAGATAGGATAGACCGACTTCGTAAGAGGCATTCATCCAACCGAAACCTTCTCGTGGAACGAATTTAAAATCTATACCGACGTTTCCGTATTCCACTTGGACCTGATGATTTAACGTCACTACATCGTACTTCTCGGGAACAACACCATTAAAATCAACAAAGGATTTCGTGATGGTGTAACACCAACGATACGCCAACCTTCGGGCCTCCGTCATGAAACCATAGTTCTCCAAACC